ATGACTCATGGAAGACTCTGTCTAGCTCCTGGAATATTGAAAGAAACCAGGTCAGATCAGTGGCTGCTGAAAGAGAGAAAGAAAAAGCCACGGGAGCAAAGCTGGAGGCAACTACTCTGTGTTTTAATATGCTACTTTCCTACTTTTCTCCACTTACAGGAAGCTCTGGGTGACTTAAGAACAATTTGGAGGAATGCATGACTAATACTCAGCCAGGCTTCATTTATGCCAAAGCTCATCAGATACAGATTCATCAAGCAGGGATCAATGAATCAGTCTGTTTCTGAATTATATTAGTTTCACATGGATTCAGTCCTATGTTCATTCTGTTCCAGATCCACATTGATTTGCAAAGATGTTTTTTCAATTGCACAGTCAATCTGGCTAAATAGTTGCCCTCAACACATACTAGTTTTGTACAGCTGTTTTAAATTACTTGTTTTATATTTAAATTTTTGGAGTTGAGAACTACACTGTGAAATTCAAAGAAAAAAATCACAAAAATGAGAATTATCTTGGTCTTCTTTAAAATGAAGCCCCATAAAGTTCTTCCCCATCCCTACCGTATTGTATTTCCATTGGCAAGGCGCAGCCCTAAAGCTAGCCTATTAAAATGCCCATCTACCTGCCTTCCCATCCATGCTAATAGTCTAATGTTCTAATATTGTAATGCTAATATTCCCCACAAAGATACTTCAAGGTTTGTCCACCTAGTCACTTGCCAAGCCAAATTAGAAAATTTCTGATAAGTCGGTCTTTTACTCTGAGATGGGAAACTTGTAGATCTTCAGATGTTTTTTGAACTGCAACTCCCATCATTTTTCACCATTGGCTATGCTGATTAAGGGTGATCACCTGGAAGGCCAAGAACTGGCTACCCTAAAATAAATTCTGATCAATAAGAACATGTGCTTTTCTAAGTGCCCAGAGTCTTCCACTACAAATATACAGATCAAGATTTGCTTGAATTTAACAGCATTAAAGAGAGTATAAAAGTATATTAACTAAAGAAACAAATCATGAGTGTCCGTTTCAACCATTCTTCTGTCCATTCCTTCAGACGTTTTAGATTTCAGTTCTCCTAGTGACTATGGCCAGAAATAGTGGTTGTACTCTGAAACATCTGAACTTTATCTTTACTCTAACACAATCTCATTCTAACATAATCTATGACCCTATTACACATATGTAATCCTGGGTCTATCTCTAATGGAGGATTGAATGATGTCCACGAATGATGGGGAAACAACAGGGTGTCCGATACGTAATCTGACTTCCAGCAACACAAAATTCATGGTGACATAGCTATTCGCTACCACATGGCGTCAGTGTGAAAGGCAGTAAGGATTTATGTTGTTATTAAGGGGATTTATTTCTTTTTCATTTGGGGTTAATTGGGGGCTTGAAAATGTAAAGGGCTGATGGTGCTTGTCTGGAAATGCTATAGTGTCGCTATGAGCAGAACAAATGGATTGCAAGCAGCTTTCTGCCAACATCACGTTTAGTGCTGATTTTAGCAATACCGGTAATTCTGTAGAATGAAATCTCCAAGGCTTTGGCAAGGACTATCTGCGTTGTCCAACTGTTGTTCCATAGCTATCTTGCTTTCTGCAGCTCTTCAGGATACTTTGAGCCAATAACTACAGTTGTCTTCAATTTTATCTTATTTCCTGACCCAAGATAATGCTGGGCAAAGCTTGGAGGAGGCTTATATTTAACGGGAATAACCCTACAGTAAGTATCAGGAAGGAACAAAATTTGGGAAATGATTTGAATGGAATACAACTCTCAGATTCCCCCAACTAGAATGCTCATGGAGAGCTGTAGTTCACAAGGGATCCTTTGCCATGCTATAGATAGGGGGAACCGATTAGAAGTAATAAAAGCAAACACTTAAAGAACCAGTAGAGCACTCAAAGCAGATGGGTGGTGATTTGACAAAAGTCTATGCGCACATAATTATTTATTAAAATACTAGCTGTACCTGCCACGCATTGCTGTGGATAACTTTCCCTCCCTCTTTCTCTCCTACTTTCTTTCTCTCCTTCCTTCCCTTTTTTCTTTCCTTCTCTCCTTCCTTCCTTCTTTCCCTCTTCCCTTCCCCCCCCCCTTTTTTCCCTTCTCTTTCTCCCCGTTCTTCCTTCTCTACCTATGCTTGGACTCCAACTCCCAGCAGTCCTCCTGCTCAATCGATCTATCTACCTACCTATTTATCTCTATATAATCCATCTATCTGGGGGATTGCTGGGAGTTGCATTCCAGGAATAGGAAACTGGAAATATGCAGAGATTGGGATGTTCTCAAAGAAATCCAAGGAGAAGAAAGCTTGCATCTTGGAAGCAGTGCATTTGGATCATCTTCCTCTCCCAGGGGATGCTGGGAACTGTGGTCCAGAAGAGAGTTTGGATATGATATTTGTGTTTTGTTTGCTGGGAGAGTCATTTTTGCGCATGCACTGTAATGTCTTTTTGCTGTTTTGGATTTTAAGTCCCTTCCACTGTGTTTTTCAGTGTTTTTAGGAGTGAAGGTCACTCATTGGCCTAATAGGTGTATTGTGTCCAAATTTGGTGTCAATTCATCCAGTGGTTTTTGAGTTATGTTAATTCCACAAACTAACATTACATTTATATATATATAATTTGTTTGTTGCCTCTCGCTTTATCAGAGCTCCAAAATGATATACAACAGATAAAAACACTCTTTCCCAATCCCAAACAGTTTTCTTTAAATTAATTTTTAAAATATGCAGACATAATTAGAACAGTACCAAAAGGAAGACCTGAGTGCCCTCCTCTGGCACTCAAGCTATGTCAAAGCAACACTTTAAAAGGACCCCTCCTGTCTTATTTTCTGAGAGACTACATAGCCAATGTGGTGTAGTGGCTTTAGCATCAAACTATGAAGCCCTACTCAGCCATAGCTCTGACATAACTCACAACTCTGAATTATATGTAGGATTTTAACTCCTGACCTTTAAACTCTGAAACAAAGTTTATGTACCATTGGCTGCTATAATAGCAATGAACTTGTCCATGAACTCTGAATAATAAGTAGAGATACCCTTCTTAGACAGAATGTCTTTGGTGATTTTATGGATCAAGTCAATACCACTTCAGAATTTGGAACGCAATGCAACCTGACAAATTGTGTTTTCCTTCCTGCCTGTAACTCTCTAACATTTTGGCTGTCTCTCACTGACCCCTCTATGCATCTATATCTTATCCTATCTACTTATATGTCTTGAACTCTACTTAGCTGAATATCTGGGCTCATGAAGTTTGCTCAGCACTCACTTTCATTGGTGGCCCAATTGCTTAGCCTGCCATCAGTCAGATTCATATACTGAGAAAACATGACCTAAAACTGGTATTGATCTGGTATGTACGAGGGTTATCTGGAAAGTAAGGTTACAAGATTTTTAAAAAATACAAAAAATGAATATATTTTAATAAAACTTACATGGATTGTAGCATAGGTGTTACATTATTTTTCCATATAACCATTCAGTTCAATACATTTTGTTATGTGTGTCATGAGTTTTAGATGCTTATGTCATAGAAGTTTCCTTCTGCCTTTTACAGCCAGTTCACCACTTCAATTTTCGCCTCCTCGTCATCAGAAATGTATTTTCCACCAAGGTGTTCCTTCAATTTAATTAACAGATTATAGTCACTGGGTGAGAACTCGAAGCTGTGAGAGGGGTGGCTTAAAACATCCCAACCAAATGAAGTCAACAACTCTTGTGTTGCATGAGCAGTGTGAAGACACGCATTGTCATGAAGGAGACAGATGCCTGCCGTCAGCATCCCACGATGTTTGTTTTGGATGGCTCTGCGAAGTTTCTTCGTGGTCTCATAATATATTCCGTACCCATTTTGTCACATGCTGTCTTGACATTACGCCTTCTCCATAAATTGAAAGGATTTCTCGATGAATTGCAGTGGCATTCATGTCATTAGCATTTAGGTAATGTATTACAACGTGAACTCCACACTTGGAGAGAAACGGAATAAGGACATTCATCTCTAACCTTCACCACAATGCCAGTCGATGAGCTACTGATGACTGGCACTGCTCATTCGCTTCCACTGGCTTCCCACAAATGATGCCAACTTCCCCCGAGAAAATTCCCCGCAAGAGCTACGTGCCTTGTAACTTTACTTTCCAGATAACCCTCATAGAATCATAGAGTTAGAAGTGACCACAAAGGTCATTCAGTACAATCATCTATCATGCAGGAATACAAGTCAAATGTAACTTCTGCAATTCACTCCAGAGCCAGTTTTTAACCAGGCAGTCACAATAAACTAAAAGTCATGAAGAGCAAATACTACCTATGTCCAATTTCAAAAGACAGAAAACCCCCTCAACTTGAAGGATAAGATGATATCTCTCCAGAACAACCCCCTTTATAAGAGATTAAAAACAAAATCAGAAAACACTTGTGTGTGTGTGTGTGTGTGTGTGTGTGCGTACATGTGTAATGATGCATGTTTATGCCAGAAGCTGGCTCAAGTTGTGATGATCAGTGGGGTAGTCATTGTTCAATAGATTCTCTCTGACCATCACCTAACGGCATTGACACTGGAACAAAGAAAAGAACAGTAGGAGAAAGAATTTGTTATTGTCACAATGACAAAGTTGAGATTAAGCACTGAGAAATGCAGTATTTTCATAACAAGAGTACTAACATGAGAAAGTTCCCTTCATGATTTCCATCAAATGGAGAACTGCATAACAAAAGCACATAGAACCGAGCACTGATTCCAAGACAACAAAAAAAAACTTTTAAGTCTATTTAGTGTTACCTAAAATCAGAGCTAGGAAACATGTCTTTTTTGGACAACCAAAATTCCCCAAGCAGCCAGGTACTATCTCTTTCTTTTGAAGAGGGGTGTGTGTTTCAGGTTATTTAAGTCCAAAAAGCTATTTTTCCAAACCCAGAATACATATATTGGTTTTCCTTGATGAACCCAACAAGGACCTGTTATTTCACCTACCCCTTTGCCTAGGTCTTCCCGAATCACCTGCTCAATTTCCTGCATGCTGCTCTGTGGAGCTTGGCTGTGCAACACCTTAAGTGTGCTGGTATATTCTTCAGGCAACAGGTAGTCAAGAGCTCCCAGGTGCTGTCCAACTTTGATGAAAGTGCCCCGGTTGGCACAGCACAGGTCCCGGAGACGTTCTGCAGAACGCCAATGCACCTAGAGAGAGATTGAGAGTCAGTTATTGAAACATAGATGCTCAAGTTTCTCTTAATTTTCTCAAAAACCACTTGCTCCTATTACATAGTTCCACTTCTCACAAGGCAATGAAATGCAGTTGTGAAGAAGTTGGGTTTCTTTGTAATAAAGAAGGATCAATATTGTGAAATCATTAGACCACTAGATTGGGATTTGGGACATCAAGATTCTAGTCTTTACTTGCCTATGAAACTCACTGATTGTTTCACTGTGAACCTTATGGGGGTTATTGTGGGGTTCAGGGTTAGGAAGTGCCGAGTTGTATAAGTTGTTTTGGGTTCATTATGGGAGAAGTGGTATATACATCCTACACAATAATTTTTTAAAATCCATGAGTTTAGATTGTGCAACAAAAATGTATATGAAAAGCAGCATCATTTTTTTTCCCTACCAAGCCATTGTGTGCAGACTGCAGGTGTAGACAAAAGAGTGGCACAAAGACGCTCCCCACACCCTTTGCATTCCACCTACAGAAGCCAGGTAGATTAGTAAGATGACGGTGAGGAGTGCTTATTATCATCTTTGACAGATATGCCAATTGCAATCTTTCATGATATTGGAAAGCCCTTAAAATGGTAGTGCACATACTGGTAACCTTAAGGTTGGAGCTCTGCAATTCGCTGTACATTGGGGTACCTCTGTACCAAGTTTGAAAACTCTAATCAGTTCAAAATATGGGAGTCAGTTTGGTTACAAGTGCATCCAGAAGGAAGCAAAACGCATCAATATTAAAATCACTCCATTGGTTCCCAATTAGTTTTGAGGTGAAGTATAATGTGTTGGTTGTTCCATTCAAAGCCCAACATAGTTTGGTCCAGGTTATCTCCTGTACAATCCACCCTGTACATTCAGGTCCTCTAGGGAACATTTACCTCAATCAGCAAGACTAGACAGGCAACTACCACCCAGAGGACCTTTTCATTGGCAGCCCCCAGACTGTGTAATGACCTGCTGGAAGAAAGATGCTGCCTGAATTTTAAAAAGCCTTAAAAATCTATCCCTTCGGGCAGGCCTATCCAGTCGATATTAAACTATGAATTTTAAATTGACTTTTTTATAAGTATGGATGATTTTAATGTGTGATAGTTTGTGTTTTAATCTTATGTTTATGTGTTTTTAATCTATGTGCTTTAAAAGGATTTATGTGCTTTTAGTTATATATTGTATTTAATTTGTATTGTACTCTGGCTTGAGCTTTGGGGAGAAGCCAATACATTATTGTTGTTGTTGTGTTATGAATAACTTTCCCACACTGGAAAAGAATATCCCACTTCTAACACCAATTTGTCACGAATGACTTTTCAATAACTTTGAAACATAGGTTCTTTTTATTGCAATTTCCAGTGTGAGAGGTTATATCAGATTACAGAAAAACATTTAGACCAAGAATGACATTGGACATACAGACATACAAATTCTATGCAACTACAATGGATTTACAATTACATGGCTAACAAACAAACAAAGGAGAATTACATTTTTGCTCAACATTCACACACACGTACATGCATTCATCCTCATACATTCAAATATTACCGTATCATTTTCTCCCTCCTTGGAGAAGCACCTATTAGGCCAGACCCTGCTTTCCTGCAGCCTGCCAATGCATAGTTCCATAACTTAGATAACGCCAAAACTTCAAAACGCTGAAATGCCAAAACTTCTTTCCCTAAGCACAATGCCAAGGACCAGATTTCTGTTTTCCATACAGCAGAACCTGGCTCCCTGCACAAAATCTAAGTCTCCAAAAGCACACTTCTTCCTCTTCCCTTGAGAAAGAAGGCCAAGGTCACCAGACTGCTCCCTTGCAAATCTGCCACTCCATGGTACACCATCTCTCTCCTTCCCGTGGAGCAGAGCATAGCAGGTGGAACAGACTCCTCAGGTCTGCCACACTTTGAGCATTATTAGATTGAGTCTTTTATAGGAACATTCTGCTGATGTAGTCCCAAAGTTGTAAATTAATGATAGATGTCTTCTATCCTGGCTCCATCTCAGTTTCCTGGCCAGTGGGTGACTTTTCTTGATTGGTGTTGACAAACACAAGACTTGCGTTGACTTCCTTCTTAACATAAGGAATGTTGCAAACATTTCCTTAACTTGAAAGAACCATTGTCACAGTTCTTATCAGAGTTTACCTTTTCAGTTGTCATTGCAGGCCTTAATATTTTACTGGTGCTTCCAAAATTATTAACTCCATCCATTCATTCATCCTTCCATTCTTCCATTCATTCCCACACATCATATTATTCACATTCATCAAATCTGCATATTGAATTTCTTATTACAGTTGTTTTCAACACTAGGATGAGACAACTTTTCCCATCTCATCTGAGAGCAGTAGGCTAGCTTAAGGTACACAGGATAAGTTGTCCGAAATATACTGCTCTCCCCTTTAAGAAAAGAGCACAACAACTATATAGAGGAAAATTATTGTCTTTACAAACTGTATAGCAATTACTGGAAACAATTAATAAATATAAAGTTTTGTGGGGGGGGGGGGGGGGGAGAGAGAAAGGAGAGCAGCCAAAGGGTTGTTCTGCCCCTTCGTATCACTCAGCATTGATTTCCCCCTGCTTAGCAGAAGAGCCCGCTGTAAATAGAAGTGTAGCAAGAGCACATCCAACCCCCCTACAATAAGCACAATGCAGGTGTAACTTGAGAGGACACAAATGTGTGGCAGAGATGTAGACATACGTAAAAGATATTGACCCCCAACTCCGCTACAAAGTGTGGTGCTGATGCTTATTCTATTCATGATGTCAACCAATGCAAGCTAGCATTTTGAACATTTCTACAAACTTCAATGTGGGTCAGGCCAACAGCATGCAAATCAGCAGCTATCACTTCCCATAAATAACACTCTCACAACGGGTAGAAAGCGACTGTCATGCAGAGGCAGAAGCATGAGCTCAGTAGCCAAGTGGCATTCTATGCAAGTCCTTGACTTGGCTGTGTATTCTCTCTCTTTTGAATGCAAGTGATGTCAAGAAGGAAGGAAATCAGAGAGACTGGAAAAGAAAGGGTGCAGCTGGAGGGTGGGAAGAGGGAGGGAGCGAGCCTGAGCAGCTGGGCAGTTTGTCACAGTACAGGGAGTTCAGCCCATTACAGGGAAACAGCTTTTATGCAGCTTGGATAATTGTCCTCCACACTGTCTCCAGCAGAGGAGAAAGGCGGGGGAGTTGCAACCAGCTAAAGCAGGAAGGGTCTATCTATAGCTCTCCAGCATTAAACTACGTTCCACGGGAAAGGGAAGTGGGAAAAATCTGGGAAGAAAGAAAGGCACTTAACCCTGATTTTCTCCCATTTTTTATATTTCATGTTGACAAAATGGGCATTTTTCCTGCTATGTAACAAAATGACTATGGAGTAAGGGCTACAAGGAAAACACAATTATATACTCACACATATACTTAAGGCTGCATGTTAAGTGCTTAAAATTTGAACCAAGAGTGTAAAACACATTAGGATGGATTTCTATGTTGAGTCATTTCCTAAAATGCAAGCTCAAAGTATTTTTGTTTTGCTTTTTTACTTCCAGCTATTCTCTTGACTACCAATCACAAAAAGAAAATCAATGTCTACAATAGGTGTACGGATCATCTTTTTGGCTGGAGCTCTAGACTGAATGTCTGGGGCTAAAGGAATGAAGTAGCATCAGGCCTTATTAAGAACTTTGGGTATATTCACACTATAAGATTAAAGCTCTTTGAAACCACTTCAAATGCTATAGCTCCATCCTACAGAATCCTACAATCTGTGGTTTGGTGAGATCCTTACACTTCTCTGCCAGATTGTTCTTATGCTATGGTTCAAGGGTGTGGATGAAATAATGTTAAGTCTCTCACAAAACTACACATCTCAGGATTCCATAGGCAGCTGAAGTAGTATGTATTTACTATAATTTTTCATTGTGGGTAGAGTCTTGGACATTTTCCCACTAACCACACAATTATCAGCTCAGTTCTGTATAGGAGCCCCCAGTGGTGCAATGAGTTAAACCTTTGTGCCAACAGGACTGAAGACCGACAGACCAGAGGTCCGAATCCAGGGAGAGTGCAGATGAGCTCCCTCTGTCAGCTCCCGCTCCCCATGAGGGGAAATGAGAGAAGCCTCCCACAAGGATGGTAAAACATCAAATATCCGGGCATCTCCTGGGCAACGTCCTTGCAGACGGCCAGTTCTATGACAACAGAAACAACCTGCAGTTTCTCCAGTCACTCCTGACATGAAAAAATTTTTTTACAATTTGCTGCATGCTACATAGCCACATTTTCCCCATCTCTGAAATAAAAGGGAGATTACAGAATGAGATAGGCAAGGAGTCTTTCACACATAAATCATTTTCACATGGTTTGAACTTAAGACTACGATTGGAAACCATTCTGCTAACTACCAAGACCGGAGCAAATAGACAAACTAACCACTTGCTCTTGGCAGTTAGCAGAAGGGTTTCCAGTTGAACTGTTGGCTGTATACAACTGAGATCAGGTTAGACTGCAGGTTGAGTGAGTTATTGTCTTGACCTTTGTTTACCTGTTACACCAACAATATTTTTCTTAGGATGCTCACTTTGGGTATCAAATTGAGCTTGGCATTTTTGAGAGAGCTCTTTGTAGTGATATAGGACAAAACATGTTGTATCAAAATGGTCTCAGACTGGCTTGTCAAGCAAGAAGAAACAAAAAGGGTGTTTTTTTCCCACATATTTTTTTTTGGGGGGGGGGGGAGAGATTGACAAAAAGAAATAGTGGGAACACTGCTCAGTAAGGATGGTAAACTGCTAACAAATTATAATGAAAAGGCAGAACTGTTCAATACCTATTTCACTTCAGTCTCTACCCACCCCCAAGAGAGGACTCTATGCTTCCGTGCATAGCAGAGAACTTTAGTAAGGAATCCAAGTTGCAAATCAAGATTGATAAGCAAGCAATTAGTCAGGAATCACCTAGTTAACTGAA